AGGGTCTGCTGACCAGAGTGGGAGCGACGCGAGCGACTGGGACGATTCGGGTTGGTGTCCCTCTCCCCCTCCCTTTTTAAAATAATTTTATTCACGCCGTTTTTTTTTCTCGTAGTGTCGGTATACTCCAACGGCTCCACGCCGCCCACGTCCTTCAACTCGCCCGCCTTCTCTGCGCACCCGCCGTCCCTCACGCTCTCGCACAACCCGACGCTCAATCCCAATCTCGGCGTCAACAGGCAGTCAATGATTATCCAGCAACAGATCCAGCAGATCCAGATGCAACAGCAGCAAATGGAAATGGCCGTGATGAACCGGCAGCCCAGAAATCCCTAGAGCTCAGCCGTCGTCCGCACAGGGTCTGCTGACCAGAGTGGGAGCGACGCGAGCGACTGGGACGATTCGGGTTGGTGTCCCTCTCCCCCTCCCTTTTTTAAAATAATTTTAGTCACGCCGTTTTTTTTCTCGTAGTGTCGGTATACTCCAACGGCTCCACGCCGCCCACGTCCTTCAACTCGCCCGCCTTCTCTGCGCACCCGCCGTCCCTCACGCTCTCGCACAACCCGACGCTCAATCCCAATCTCGGCGTCAACGGGCAGTCAATGATTATCCAGCAACAGATCCAGCAGATCCAGATGCAACAGCAGCAAATGGAAATGGCCGTGATGAACCGGCAGCCCAGAAATCCCCAGAGCTCAGCCGTCGTCCGCGCAGGGTCTGCTGGCCAGAGTGGGAGCGGCGCGAGCGACTGGGACGATTCGGGTTGGTGTCCCTCTCCCCCTCCCTTTTTAAAATAATTTTAGTCACGCCGTTTTCTCTCTCTCGTAGTGTCGGTATACTCCAACGGCTCCGTGCCGCCGACATCCTTCACCTCGCCCGCCTTCTCTCTGCACCCGCCGTCCCTCCCGCTCTCGCACTCCTCCTTCTCCCACTCGTCAGCGCATACCGCGTCCAGCGCACACATGTCTGATGAGATGTTTCTAAATTTCCAACCAAACCAGTACTCTCCACGAATGGTCGGTAATGGACAATTTGCCTTTGGCACCTGCCCAATGCCTCCGCTTAATATGTCCGACTCTTTCCCTCCCACGGTGTTGAACGAGTGAAGGCGAGGACAACTGAAGATAAGAAACTTGGTCTTTTGTGCGAGCTCTGCGAACCCTTATATATTTACAGAACTATTTCTAGAATATTATATAAATACTGTGCATCACTCTTTGAGTCGTTTCAAGAATATGATGAAATATTCAAGTCCATTCTCAACACACAGTGGGTACACCACGGCGCCCGGGCGGATTCCCGCCTACGCCTGCTCAAAAGTTGTCTATGCAACAACAGCATGGGGCCGCCGCCGAGAACGGCTACGGTTTCAGCATGGCCCCACAATGTCCACTCTCCAACAACCGACTCTCTTCCCTGCAGCAGCAGCACTCGCCGGCGCTAGTGCAGGGTTAGAAATGTTGGTGTAAATTGCATAGCAAAAAATTACATGTGAATTACACTTTTGACATTAGACCTTCCAATCTCAGCGTAAAGAATAGTAAAATATAGGGGCATCTCAGACAGAAAGTCAGTGTTATCTCGACCTTTCTACCAACGCACGCTAACCAAGATGTTCATCAAAGGGCCGAATTCCGCCTTTGCAACATCCTAATGAGCCGCGGGTCGTTCTTGAGGCTATAGCCGACAGTTTGCCGATAAATTTTCCATATTTTACAAACTTTACAGGGTGTTTTTTACTCGTTTCCTTTCTGTGTTTGGGCCGGGAAACCTTTCGTGCTCAATTTACTGTTCTTTGAGAGCTGGTTTCATTATGACATCTCTAGAATCGTTGGGCTTGGGTTCAAACCCACCCTGCCGCTGTTGTATTTGGTGTACCTTGAGATTTGTCTACAGTTTGTCCCGATAGCCTAGCAGTTTTAACGCAATTGAAATTAGATCTTCGTCATCTATGGGTACATGTAGGTTAGCTCGATGACTGCCAGAGCGAAGCGGCAGCTCATCTTGTTTCCCTTTCAGCGTGCACTACGCCGTCTATCTGCCTCAAAATAAATTTTGCCGGTCAGGACACGGGTACCAACGCGGGCGGTGACCCAAGATGCTGTTTCATAATATTTATTTTCAAAAAAAAAAATTGGCTCGACCAACCTTTTCCGTATATGCTGTAATTACTATTTGACTAGGTCTCGGAATTTTTGAACCGCTCCACGCAAACTCACATCACAATTGCCACCCCCGTCGAGCGGATGCTCCACGTGGTCCAAAAACGCGCGCGCGCAGTCAGCAAGCCCGCTCCTCCTCTCGACGCCCACAGCCCCGCGGCACGCCGACTCGCACTTCACAACTCCATAACGCATCCCACTCCCATCGACGCGCCCCACCACTCGACAGCCTAGCGGTGCGCTTGCTCGACAACTCCTCCCAAGCACGGGCGGGACAAGCGGCAGGATGGGGTGTAGTCGCTGGACCAGCACCTCGGGCGTCAGCCGCGCGTGAATGCCTCGCCGCAGAGCCCAGCGCACGCAGACGTATCGCCCCCAAGTCCCTCCACATATCGCGCCTACCTCTGCGCAAAGACGACTCGCTTGGACTCGACTCCTCCTCCTCCTCCGCCCACTCCTCCTGCTACTCCTGCTACTCCCGCCTTGCGCAAGTCCGCGCGGAGCCGGCTCGAAAGATCCTCCTTCTCGCCGAAGAAGAAAAGAAAGACACCATCGACAGACTCAGTCTGCTACTCCCGCCTCCCGCTGCGCAGGACGGACAGACACCGGCCGGTACACAAGTCTGCGCGGAGCTCGAGGGAGGCTGCTTCTCGCCGAAAAGCAAGAAAGCAACCCTCGCGAGTCGAGGCTCGAGTCGACAAGTAATCGAGAGAAACCGGAGAGAAGAAGGGGAAGAAAACAGAGAGCGAAATGAAAGCAAAATCGAGAAAGAAATCGAGAAAAAAAAAGGCGAGAGAGAAAAGCAGAAATCGGGAATGTAGACTTTTGTAGACAAAAAGAAAGAAACGCACAAATATGCCACGACATTATAATCCCTGAACTCCGCGTTGAGCCCGTCGTACGTCGTCGAGGCGGTGTCACCGCACCATTCACTGCACGTCGACAATTCGTTAGCATCCAAGCGAGATTTTAAAAAGCGATAAAATAAAATGGCAGGGAAGATATTTGTAAGAAAGCAAGACAAGACAGTGGAGCTAGTTCTACGTGGGGGCATGCAGGGAAGCGGACAAAAGCCACGGCCTCGAAATGAGGGAGAGAGGAAGAGGAAGCTCGAGCTGGGCGGCTCCTCTTCACAGGAGGAGGGAATCCGCGCGCGCCCGGATGAGGGAGGCGCACAGTCGGGCGTAGCGCAAGAGATCTCGGCCAGGGAGAACGCAAGGGTTTGAGCCGCGCGCGCTGTCCCCGCACGCTCCCTCGTCGACGTGGAGGAAGAAGTGAGTACGTCCCGCATCCCGGTGACGGGAAGGGGAGGGAAAGAGAAGGGAAACAGGGAAGCAAAGGATGGCATGGGAGGCACGGCGGGAAACGCAAGGACAAGAGACACAACACACCTGATCTAACACATTCATTAGTCCCCCACGCCTAAGGGCAGGTCGCGCGTGCAGCCGTCCAAGTCGGCGAGTTGGTCGACGACTGGCGTTTCGTTAATCACACATTACATTAGTTTGAATCTATTTATTGAGAGGAGGGGAACGCACAAGAGCGGGTTGTCCGGGCCTGGTATCACAAGCCTATTCAGATTTCTTTTACTTGTCTTTTCCTCTCCACTCCTTCCACAAGAGAACGCACCCTGCGTCTGATACGTAATCTCCTTGACGAAACACCGGCTCCCATCCTCGGCGTAGAGGTACCTCCCCGTGCGCGTGATCTTGGGGATGCCACCCACTGTCGAAACGAACGTGGCTACGCTTGCGAGCGCGGCAAGCCCAGGAATCTTCACGGGAAAGCGAGGGCGGTGCGGTAGGGAGTGTCGATTGAAGCAGGGGCTAGAAGAAGCAGGTACAAACCACAGAAAGGAGCCCCGACAAAGGAGTCATTCGAGAGAAATTAGCGGGGTGATGAGAGGACGGTGAACCGTGAAGGCCGCCCCCCCCCCCAGGCACGGCACGCTGCACAGCCGCAGGATTGACATTGACAGCTGATCCGCTCGGCGGCTTTGGCTTCGGCTTTAAGTTGCCGAAGAGCCGGTATTCCCTTGGTAGGCCCCCAGTCACTACCTTGTCGGATTTTGGCGCCCGAAAATCGCTGATTTACTCTATAAATTTCCAGTTCAGCCACCTGATTTACTCGATTTCGGACTGACATTTGGGGCCAAAATTCCCATTTTCCGCTGTGGGGGGCCAAAATTTTCGCTTCTGGACCCTTTCTCAACCATTTGCAACCCCTACTCGCATTTTCCAACGAATCTTGAGTCTTTCAGCTCGATTCTAGGTCTACAGAATCAATCTCACCTTGGCCTTATGAGGATGCTTTGCCAAAAAAATAATCTCGCGCCCCGCGAGATTTACTCTATTCCAGTCGAACTTTGCTATATTCCAGCCTATTTTACTCTATAAAATGGCCGGAGATAGGGCCATTTTGGGGCGTTGATTTACTCTATCGCAGACCGTCTGGTAAGGTAGTGACCGGGGGCCTCCCTTGGTAGGATGTTCAACACTGCGAGTCATGATAGCAGAACTTTTCGCCGTGAAATGTAGAAAGGGGGAGAAAAGATAGCGATGGGATCGGGCTTTGCATCGGCGTCGCCTGGCGAACGGCGTTGACGGCCCAGTCATCCCGCGCGCACACGGCGTTTGTTGACCGCGATGGGATGTGACACCCGCACACTGGCAGTGGCACCTAAGGACGCCTCGGTCCTCGAACTGCCTCGACGCCCTTCCAAAACGCCGTCTGTCCAGCGAGTGTTGCTCAGAAGCAAGTGGAACAGCCAAAGGAACAACTTTCATCTCGCGATTTCACTCACTCCCACCTACCAAGGTTCGCAAATACCTACAAAAAGGCCCGGTAGTGGATGGTTCGCACCTGCTCTCCATAGTGGCGATATAGAACTGCATCATGCATGCAGGGAACGCTCGTTCGACTCGAGCCCGGGCCATGGCCAAATTGATTTGTTCCATTTTCTTTTTTCTGCCTTACTGTCCGTTCAATTCGACTCTACGTCCGCAGATGATAAATGTGAGGGGCCGAAATCGACTTGCGGAGGAAGTAACTAGAAGTGTATTGAAACTGGTTGGCTTTAACTTTGAATCCGATCTGACGGAGTTTGCATGTGGCCTGGGAGCGGACAGTCCACCCCCGAATTCAATACAACTTTACTACATTCCTGCCAGGAGACGCTCGTTCACCTCGAGCCCGGGCCATATTTGGGTAGTATAACGTCCTTTTTGGTCTTATTTTAATACCGATATTTCTCATCTTGATTCCCATCTAGCCAAGTTTACACGAAGAGGAATAAAGCCCGGTAGCGGTTGGTCCGCACCTGCATTCTGTGTCCACGGCCTCTTGGAGATTTGGCAGGACTCGCTCGTTCGATTCGAGCCCGGGCTGTGGATTGCTTCATCAGGACCCCTTTTTATTATTATTGTTCACATAAAAATTAAACTGAACCTGTATTTCATTTTCTCGCAAGCCCGATCTGAGCGTGTTTGCTGATTATGGACGAGAATGATTTAGCTAGGAGAACGTGCAACCCATCATATTTTGGCTTCATTTTGATTCCCATCTACCAAGGTGCGCAGATACCTACCAAAAAGCCTGGTAGTGGATGGTCCACACCCACTCCACATAAACGATATTTGATGGTTTAGTGGGAGTCGCTCGTTCGACTCGAGCCTTGGCCTGACTTGTGTCATTTTGATTTTTGCCGCAATTCAACTCCTGGTCTAATATCATGCCCTACAACGATGCAGACCGCTGGAAGTGAGTCGCCTGACTGGTGCAAGAAGAACAAAAACTTCACGCGCGGAGAACGCGGTACTGTATTTTGGCTTCATTTTGATTCCCATCTACCAAGGTTCGAAAATACTTACCAAAAGGCCCAGTAACGGACGGTCCGCAACCACTCCACATAAACGAAATCCATCGAGTTAGTGGGAGTCGCTCATTCGACTCGAGCCCGGGCCATCCTTGGCTCGATATACGCCAAAGAAAAAAATCTGAAAAAAAAACTCACTGATACGCCCTCACATCCCTCGCCGCCTTCAAAAACGGCGCGGCGTTCGTAGCGTTCTGGGTGAGGACCTCGTTGCCGACGTTGTAGGTGACGACGTTGTCGTATTCGGAAAAGGCGTTGATGGTTGTTATGTACTGTGTTTGGCGTTAGTTTTTTGTAAAGAGTAAAATAAAGAGATTGGGGCAACGCGGAGGAACGCAAGGGAAGAAAGAGGGGAGGGAGAGGGAGTAGGAGGGAGGATTGGGAAGAGACAGGAAGGGGAGGGAAAGAGAAGGGAAACGAGGAAGCAAAGGATGGCAAGGGAGGCGCGGCGAGAAACGTAAGGAAAAGAGACACAACACACCTGATCCAGCACATTAGTCGCCCGCGCCTGAAATCATTTTTTTTAATAACCCCAATCGCTTCCTCTGGCGAAAATACACAACCTGCTTGGGACCCGCCTTGAGTCACTCAAGTCGACCTCAAGTCGATTGTATCAACTTGACTTGACTTGGCTCAAGTCGATGCCCCCAAGTCGACTTCGAGTTGGTTTGTGTAATAGATCTGGATTTCGCGCGCCGCCGAAGCGTGAGAGAAATATACTGTCTAGCTGCGGACGAATAGATTTGGTTCAGAAATCCCTAGAAAACAGCTAACGCTCACCGCGAACGATACCAAACAACCGAATAGTAAGTGCGAGGCTTTACTAGACGCGAACAACGGAATATCACGTAGTTCTTAGGACTGCAGGCTAAGAAATGTACCTGCTATGCAAGGCAATAACTTTAGCTCAGTGGTAAGATTCCCAGTGGAAGGCTGGCGCTTCAAGGCGAAAATGGTATTGCAAAGGTAAGATAGATTGTCTCCACAGGGAGGGAAGACTCGCCTTATATACATAGAAATAATTTAAATATGGTAAATGACTCGAGTGGAGTCAAAGGGCAATGACTCCGCAGCCCGAAGCAAGCCCGAGACCATGCCCGAGGCAACGCACAGCACAGTGCGACACGTCGGAAGTAGATGTGGCTGTACTTCAAAACCGTGAGAGTTCATGGAGGCTAATTGATCGCAAAACAGCCAATATCCATCACAGTTTGTCCCAAGTCGCGGAAACGCTTGGGGCAACGGGCAGTGTGCCGGCAAGTCCGTGTAAAGAATCTCAGTGGTGGTGCACACGAGGCAGAGCAGTGGGAGACACAGAGCGGTACATGGTGGGAACGGATAAGAAAGGAGCGTGCCGTATATGCCGAGCTCGCGTAAGATCGTTCACGTAAGCTGATTCCCGATGAGAGCGCTCTGCTCTTCCTGCTCAGTGGCCCCGCGAACTTGCGCACCGCCGTTGTTCCAAACCCGCAGGTTCCCACTCATATATTGCTCAGCCGTGTCGAGATTAAAGCAGACGTGGTGGAGATTGGGGGGGTCAAGTACGCCTCATGTTTTCGGCGTGTTGGATAGTATATGAGTACGTATGTAGTGCGACAAAAGCTGTTGATCTTTTCAACTTTGGCCGTGACCCCGACATCTCAAGTTAACCTGTATCTTCGCTCGTCATGGACAACCGCCCCAATATTCAGATCCAAGACCTCTTTCCGCGCGGCTCGACGCCTCCCAATTGTTTCCCACTGGCAACAACCGGTTGCGACGTTCATCTCCAGTTCCAGCCGCAGACAACCGCTCTAATATTCAGATCCAAGACCTCTTCCGCGCGGCTCGACGCCTCCAGTTGTTTCCCACTGGCAACAACCGGTTGCGACGTTCATCTCCAGTTCCAGCAACGCGGACAACCGCTCTAATATTCAGATCCAAGACCTCTTTCCGCGCGGCTCGACGCCTTCAATTGTTTCCCACTGGCAACAACCGGTTGCGACGTTCATCCCCAGTTCCAGCAACGCGGACAGGCAGCGCACCTTGCTTTCCGAGTCGTTGCTCAGTGCCCCCGCAAACTCGCGCGGCGCTGCTATTCCCAAGCCGCAGCAGGTTCCCACTCCGCCGTCCGCTTGGACCAGATCGAGCGCATCGCCCACTCACTGCATTCAGCGGCATATTAGCCGACGCCTCGGCTAGCTTCTGCGAGCCGTTGTCTAGCTGTGGCTATGCTTCAGCTATATCTGACTATGCCACCTCGCCACATCGCCGGTAGCTTCTGCGAGCTGATGGTTAGGTCGCCTAGCTGGGGCGTGGGTAGCTGTGGGTAGCCGGTCCAGGCCGGTCCTTCGGCTCAGCCCTTAAATAGTTTGTTGTTATGGGAATGCCAGATGCCGATCCAACTCCGCATGCATTTAGAATCAATTTTATTTGCCGAGACTGATAGCGCTCAACCGTCACTCATGTCTGCAATAATGGACATAATAAGTATTATAATACAAAGGACAAGGTGGAGTTATCCAGAGGTGCTGGCTAGCTGTGGGAAGCTCAGGCTGGCTGTGGCTAGCTGCGGCGAGGTGCCGCTAGGTGCCGCTAGTGCCGCTAGCCAGATGCGGCTTGGCCGGTTAGCCAAGCACGGCTGGCTAGTTCCGGCGAGGCGGTGCGCGGCGCCATCAGGAAAACCGTACCTATGAGCAGCTATGAGCCCTATGGGGCACTATGCAGTGCTGCATAGGGCCTCATAGTGCCTCATAGGTATATCACAGCCACAGCTTGCTGCATAGTACCAACATAGTACTGCACAGTACTGCATAGTACTGCACAGGCATTTTGGTTTTCCTGATGCAACGCAGTGTCTCACAACGAGACGCCGAGTAGGATATTGCGGGAGCAGTTGATGGCTGGGTGAGTCCCTCGTATTCTACGTATGTTGGATCGGCCAGATGGAACTGCTTCTACTGCGTTTACGCCGAATGTGTACCTCATGTTTTTCCACGAGGACATCGGATATATACTTTCTCTTCGTTTTATGTGCGACGGCTGGAGTTAATTGACCTCCTTTCGCCTCAGAAACCCCCCAATGTCTAGCTATTCCGATTCCCAAGGAGCAGCGCCTCCAAATCCCGCCGCCCCATCCCCGCCCTACACCACAACGCAGCGCGAGGGAGACTATAGGTCCAACCAGCACGAGTCCTCCCCCGAGACCAAGGGGAAAAAAATTAACGTTCAGAGTCCCAGGTTCGTGCCTTATGTGCCTTACGCCACGCGATATCTGACTCATCACGGTCAGTCCCCAGGCTCAGAATATCGTCTTCGACGTTTCTCAATCGCTGGACGAAATACAAGCTTCTCGCGACGCCATCAGGTCGACGGCCTGCGCGTTGGTTAAACGAGACCTCGTCATCCTGTCTGGTACCACCGTTGGGGCGACCCATTGGCTCGCGTATGCGTTAACGAGAGGTAAGCACTCGAAGGCGGACGTGAACTAGCATAGACTTAGCCATTTCAAGGTCGCGTTCGCGTTATTTCACGGTCCAGAGGAGACCGCACTTTGCTTCAGCTCCCTCCTGAGACGTTCCACACTTCATCCACTGTCAGCAACATGGCTGTTTACGGAAACCAGCTCGCCGGAGTCACCTCTGACGGTGGGTTCGTTCTCTGGGAACTCCCCGAGGTCATCACGAACGACGTTCCGTAAGTCGTTATCTCTCGAGTGACGGCTTCCATTGACCTATCATGCAGGGGACAGCTCTTGCTCTGCGTAGCTCCAGTTGGCTCGGACTCCGCTTCAGATGCGCTCCATTCCGTCAAGTGGCATCCCAAGGAACCAAACACCCTGGCGGTCGCTTCACAAAGCAAAGTGTATTTGATTGACCTTACTAACATTTATCCTCTGCGCGGCCAGCCCATCCAGCGGTCAGATCTTATTTATATCTCGCAAGTTTTCTCTATTCCGGCGGTAAGTGGAAATATTCGCTCAAGTGCCATCTATGCTCATTCCCTCGCAGTCTTTGGTTGCGTTTGACTTCGATATCTTACATTATGCTCTTGCAACTATTTCCGAGGACTCGAGTCTGCTT